TTTTCTAAAATGAATGTAAAGGTAGTCTGAACAAAAACTAACAGGAAGCATTCGGATAATATCTGGCATGCAATCTTCAGTGTGTGTTGGAAGATGGATGCCTGCTGGTTATTGCTTATCACCTTGCTTGTGATCAGAGAAAGTAAAATTGTGTTTTGTATGCTCTTGGTCCAGATTAAGTGAGTAGTTTTGTTCTCAAGTGGGCACTTCCATAGCATGACTGACTTTTTAGATCATAAAGATAACTTCGAGACTTGTGACAAAAGCTAGGGGACTCAGGCCTTAGGCGGACCTTCTGAAGCATATGGTGTTGTTTATGGGGAAAGTGGCTACAGAAGAAGATGGACAGGATGTCAGTTAACCCTAAGGCAAAACACATTGAAAAGGTCTGTCCTGTTTTACAGACGACTGTTGAAACTTTTGGCTGTAGCATTTTCTAATATCCTGTCACTTTTGGCCACATCTATAGTGTCTGTTGTTTATTGCTACACAAGCTATGTTGCTCTGGAACTGGTCATTTGTAACATCCTTTAAGTCACATCTAATGACATTCTTTCAGAGGAGAATTTCTACGTGGAAATGATCTGGAATATATATTTAAACAATTTTACTGAATCAAAGAAAGCAGCTACTCTGAGAGGGACAAATGCAGTAGTTCCATAGAGCTTTGTTTAGGAGTTTTTCATAAATATTAAAGTTCCAAATGACTATTTTTTGATGGTATCATTTATTCATGCTCCATTCATATAATGGAAGTCATACATTAAAGTATACAATTTGCCAGCCAAAATTCTCTGTCCTAGGACATTCCTTTGTGGCTGAGGGGGTTAGCTAGCATTAGCCAAAGTTGGTGGGACATCTCTTTACAGCCTACAGACCTCAGGTTACCAGGAAAAAATAAGAAACTGACTTACTTGGAAATATCATACTGTCAAAATTACACAAGTTATAAGGACCTTGACAAATATAGATCTTTCTCTGTTGTTGTCATGCATCTCAAATGGTCAGTAAATGGTGGCTGTTATTAAAAAAAATGTTGATTCAGAATAATGACAACTGTTTTAGAAGCAAATAATGGGAATATGAAAGGTTGGAGAAAGATTCAGGGCACTTTCCAAGGGAGATACACCTCTACCCCAATATAACGCGATCCGATGTAACACGAATTCAGATATAACGTGGTAAAGCAGTGCTCCGGGGCGGTGGAGCTGCGCACTCCAGTGGTTCAAAGCAAGTTTGATATAACGAGGTTTCACCTATAACACTGTAAGATTTTTTTGGCTCCTGAGGACAGCGTTATCTCGGAGTAGAGGTGTAGTAGCTCCCAGTGCATTGGAAATTAGCTGTATTTCAAGCATTTACTGTTCACTTAACACAGAGGTACATTCATTCAGAGAATGTGCTAAATGGTTTATATTGATATGCAGACATGAACAAAGCCTGGGTATATATTTAAAAAACAATCATAGCAATGTTGTTCTAATTAGGCTAGCAGTACCCTTTGGAGGATTCTGGGGGAATGGGTGAATTATAATTACTCCCGAGAATAGGAATGCTGAAGGGTTTTTTTTAATATAGTGTCCAGTCTGTCGGACTTGATGATTTATAGGGGGAGAAGGGGGAATAACAAACTGTTAATATCTTACAATACATGTATGAGTTGTATATCCTTTCTTTTGAGTGGGAGATGCATTTTTCCACAATGGCCAGTGAGTAATATGAGAAGTCCAGTAAGTAGACATTGGTCCAATTTATATCCCCGTGAGACCCTGAATACTAGGGAGCAAATATTAACTTCTTTTCCTCCCAGGTTATAAAGGTATATTCTCAGTATATTACTCTTGTCCTTGAGTTCCCGGTTAACTACTTAGCCTTCAGACCACTTAGGAGTATAAAATCACTGAGCCAATGATTGGATCCTGAACACATCTTGTGTCCAGCGGTGTTCTGACCTCTGCCCATGCCATTACTTTTGGCATGAGTCTTCTGTGTATCGGTGACTTGTGAGGGGCAGTGGAGCTCAAAGGAAAGGCTGGTCATTGACACAGGATTTTCATAATGTCCCTGCATTAACTGTCCCATTAATGCAGTGGTTGAACAGCATTGCCCATGTGGATCAGAAGAGGGATTTAAAAACAAAAGTGTCAGAGTATCTCTCTGGAGCATATTCTCCTTGTGATATGCTAGATTTCCAATAATCAGCATTACATTTATGCCTCTTACCACATAAATACGGCTATCCAAAGGGTATAGCTGCTGATACTGGAGGCCTGATTAGCAGATTTAGATGGAGCACAGACTTTAACCTTCCCAAACAAATACAAGTAAGACCTCACAAAATTTGCAAGTATTTGTACTTACTACTTGGGCTAAATCTTAAATTAATTTTTCCAGTCTAGTTTGAAATTGACTGTAAAGTAAAAATTGTTGTAATGACTCCATTAGTGACTGCTCTTTAAAGTCTCAGAGCCTCTGAATTTGTTAGAGAACAGAATTAACACACTTTTTTTTTTTAATCTCCCTTTGGAAAAAGTCAGCTTGTAAACATGTGGTCTTTCTATTTTTGTACATTACCATAGTGATAAAAATTAGCTATTATTTTGCACCTGTTGCCATGGTGCACGTGTTTTACAAAAATGTAAACCCATGCTTTCACTCCCTACCTGACATTAATAAATCACTAACCCAGCTCTGTTAGAAGCTTCTCCACCTATTCTCAACTTCTTCCCCACCTGTGCTAATAATTGCATCACCAAAAGTCATGAGAATGCTTGACCAGACCAGATGTGCCCCAAAGGCTCTCAACCCAGATTTTGCAGGACTGCTAGGTTTTATTTTGCCTCTTGCATAATGTTATGAATGTAAAAAGATGGTAGTAATTAAAATAAACCACTTCATTATTACCTTCACTTTTGTTTTGTAGTAGTTTTATTTTTCAGTAAATCTCAATACTTCCTAAAGAGTGAAACCAAAACATTTCCTATCTTGCTACAGGTAAAATAATCTAATGAATAAATGTTTATCAAAACCAGTTGCTTTATTCAATATCACCTGTTGTTCAGTTTGTGTAGTGACTTTCTGTCTGTAATATCTGTATGTTCTTGTTTTATTTCAAGTCTTCTGAAATTCTGAAGGCAGAGGTATGCGCCTTAGTATTGTTGGTGCATATTTTACTTTAGTTTTTGAATGGCTCAATCTCACTTGCCCATAGATTGCTTGCTTGCCCATAGGATGCCTGTAGTGAGCTCCTGCAAAGAGTTGAAACAATCACATAATTGTAACCACCATTTAAAAATAATTATTTTTCAGTTTTGTGTTAGGAGAAAATCCGTAAATTCTCTCTATGGTCTGCATTCTTAATTCCTATTGTGCTCATTAACATTACTAGCACATAATGGGGAAAATATGCCCTCTAAAAGCAAATTTACAGACCCTCCTCTAGCAGGTAATCTTCACCTTCTTGATGTTAACAGTGTCTCAAATTATTATCAATGGGGTGCGCTGATCTCTGTGCTTTCTTAGAAATTGATTCTAGCATTGTTGTGAATAGGAATATAGAGTAGTTTGGTAAGCAGACTTTTCCTTTCTTTCTCCTATATTTCATTTAATGTCATACATGTCTTTTATGGTGAGCGTTTTCCTTAACGCATGGGTAAGCGTTCTATAGCCATGTATTTCAGATATCACAGATGTAAGAAATATTATTGTGTGCTGTTTAGCTTAGAGCAGTGTTCAGATTTGAGGGGTATCAAAGAATTTTTTAATAACCATATAGAAATTATCAAGGTATGAGTCTCATTCATATCATGAGAATATGCATTATCAGTAAGGTTGGCAGTTATTCTTGGATGCAGAAGACATGCATTGTTAATTCATAGACGCATTCAAAAGTCAGATGAGGGGGAAATCCTGAGAGGTGCTAAACATATTTCAGGATTTGGACCAAGATGCTGAGATATATAAAGGGATAGAGAATATGGGAAAAATAAAACTGCATTCTATTAATCACTAGTATGCTCTCACCTCATACTGTTCAATTTTGGTCACTACATCTTAAAAATGATGTAGACAAAATAGGAAAGTTCTGTAAAAAGGCAGTGAAACTGATTAGCGGTATGTTGGATGACACTAATAATAGTGTCAAGTATCAGGGGGTAGCCGTGTTAGTCTGTATCTACAAAAACAACAAGGAGTCTGGTGGCACCTTAAAGACTAACAGATTTATTTGGGCATAAGCTTTCGTGAGTAAAAACCTCACTTCTTCGGATGCAAGCTACTGGGTGTTCTGTTCCCTCTGTGCCATGCTATAAGAACAAGGGAGCCATGGTTAAATGATGAGCTAATATCCATCATTAGGCTCATCATTCAACCTGCAAGTGAGCAGAAGTCTTCACAGCAATTCAAAGACACCTTCTTTTTTGAGCAAGGGGATTATAACAAAATAGTACTTGTCTGAAGACCTGTCTTTTTCCAGTCTACCCCACATTTGGCTTTGGAGTAAAGTTTTTGTATGGTATGATCTCCCCTCCCCTGCCTGAATCTTCTGCTATTGCGGAAGGAAGCCACCTTATACCCCATACAGAGACCTTCTTTGGGGCAATTGAGCCCCATCTAGTATATCTGCTGCAGCAGTGGGAGTGGCAGGCCCCTAGGGCACCCACTCCTACAGTGGCTGACTTCCCCCAGATTGTCTTAACACTAACAATCACTCCAAGACCAGCAGTGGCACTGGAACAGTCTTTCTGCAGACTGGGAAGACATCTCTGCGTTGGGTACGCTTAGTTCACATTTGTGAGGTTATCTCTTGAAACCGTGAAGGCTAAAAACTTCAGTTGTTTTAAAACAAAAAAGGTAAGAAACTGCATTAATCTAGGAAAGTTTCCTGCCTGCCCTGTGCAAGTAGATTTTGCTAGCCCTGATTTTATTTATACATGTGTGTGGATCTGTCTATATGAATGAAATCTAACTTATATTAACGTGGGTTGTTCTTTTTTTTAAAGAGTGGAAGTCCTGCAAGAATACCAAGGCAGTCTTCAACAAAGGGACCCAGGCAACGAGTCAAACCTGGAGCAGAAGGTAACTGGAAAGCATTTTTCTTTGTCTATTAAATATGTTTGAGAGATTATAAATGTATGGTATTCCTATTAAAGTCTCTTTGTTTACTATTTTATGCAAAACATGTATTTATAAATCCAAATGGCAATTTTTTGCATAGATTGTGTAAGTAGATATCTCATAGAACTGGAAGGGACCTTGAAAGGTCATTGAGTCCAGTCCCCTGCCTTCTCAGCAGGACCAAGTACCGTCGCTGACAGATTTTTGCCCCAGATCCCTGGGTTTAGCAGGCCAATGCTCAAACCACTGAGCTCTCCTATTCGATCATGACTTATGATCTCTAGGAAGTCTGGAAACTTTAATTTTTTTCTATCACAAAGGATGCTTCTTGATGCTTCATAAGCTATCAGGGGTAGACAAATATTTCCTTTAAAATTCTGTATAAGTGTATGTGTGTGGGTGTGCACATGCTATGGCAAAGTTGTCCATTTTTCAGCAAGTATGTATAGCTAAGTATCTAGAATTTCCTTTTCAATATGAAATCCTTGAGGGCAAAAGATTTTGAAAGACTTAAACTCGAAATATTTATTATAGGATGCCCTTCACCATGGTACCTGGGTGCCTTTGCAAAGATCTCAATAATGAGACAAAACAGGATGCTTCCCTGCGACTTTTAAACTGATCACTTTGACTAGGAACCCAGCATTTCATAATTTTATCAGTTGGTAAGACCTAGAGATAGAAGTGTATCTTTAAACTCTTTCTGAGAGCAGCCAGGGTCATATTTACATTTATTTTGGAAGAGAGCAAATTCCAGAAGAGTGGGCCTGTAGTTAAGACTGTCCTTTCTCCAATACCTACAAGTCTTCGCCTCCGGAACATGGAGTTCCAGATTTATGCATGAAAATTGGTTAGGTGCTTTTTTGGCAATGACAAGGTGGTTGATAAGATAAATTGAGCATAATCCATAGTAACCAATAACTTAATTTCACCTTGCAGCAATTTGATAGACAGCCCAGAAAGTAGAAGACGGGTTTGATATGCTTTTATGAGTTCACCACATTCAGAAGATGGTTGGATGAATTCTGGACTAGACAGGATTTTTGTGGTAGCTTTTGCTTACAGTTTCAGTCCTGAGAGGTGCAGAAGCATTGGTGACTGTAACACAACCCATATCTGACAGGATGGGACACAGTCTCTTCAATGATCACAAGTGATCAATGTAATCTGCAAGCCTAGCAATATTGAGGAGTCAAGTGGGATCGCTAGACTGCAGACCATGTTGATGATTAGGGAAGATGCCCCCAATTATTGGAACAGATATATTTTGATAGGTTCTCTAAGTGCTTTCCTCAAACTCTCTGCATAAGCTCAGGCTTGTCAGATTGAGTTTCAGCTAGCTTTTTTCATTCTGGTCTGTTTCTGCCTTGGGGCTTGTCTAGGGGGTCTGAGTCAGAGAAGGATAGGGAGCTAGGTGTCGTCAGTACACTGCTGACTTTGTATCATAGAATCATAGAATATCAGGGTTGGAAGGGACCTCAGGAGGTCATTTAGTCCAACCCCCTGCTCAAAGCAGAACCAATCCCAAACTAAATAATCCCAGCCAGGCCTTCGTCAAGCCTGACCTTAAAAACTTCTAAGGAAGGAGATTCCACCACCTCCCTAGGTAACCCATTCCAGTGCTTCACCACCCCCCTAGTGAAATAGTGTTTCCTAATATCCAACCTAGACCTCCCGCACTACAACTTGAGACCATTGCTCCTTTGTTCTGTCATCTGCCACCACTGAGAACAGCCTAGTTCCATCCTCTTTGGAAGCCCCTTTCAGGTAGTTGAAAGCAGCTATCAAATCCCCGCAGTAGCCCCTATTGTTTCTCACAATGGCTTCACCTAGAAGTTGTGGAAAAAAGGGGGAATGGTACTGAACGTTGTGGGATGCCACTTCTGCGAGCCTCTGATTAGGAGGAGCTAGTTGTTCATTTGCTCTCTGGAAACAAACAGAAAGGAACGAGCAGGGTCAAGCTGAGGCCATTTTGTGCCTGGCAGCTGTCTGTTTCCCTGAGAAGATGGGAAGGAATGAGGGGAGTATAGCAGCAATGGGATGTGGTTTGGAATTGTGGCAGGATTATGGAGGATGCTGTTGCACCATTGACTGCACCTTGGGCTTTCCTTGGTTTTAATATCGTTGCACGCATTATGCTCAGAAGCAAGGTGCACTCTGGAGTTTCCCAGTTTTAGTGGAATTGAAGTAGAGCTTCAATGGATGCCATCATATTTTTGACATTTGTGTATTATCTTGTCATTTGATTAAATACAAATACTGGCAAATGGCTAGTATTCAGACACAAATCTAATCTGAATCAAAGAATTTTCACATTGCTAGCATGGATAGGCCATGCTGTTGTGGCATATGCAGGAAGAAGCTAGATCTCTGTGCCACAGACACCTGACCTATACTAAACCAGTTTAAACCAAAGTTTAGAAAGTCATGTGTTTCTGTTCCTTTTCTCATTTTTGCTGGTTCCCTTACCCAAAGTGGCTGTTGTCATGGATGTCAAATGTCTTCTGTGTCAGAACTCTTGTGCTCTGAAACCACAGTATTCAATGATCAGTTTAATGCTGTGATCTTAGAAAAACGTAAGAAATACTCTTACTTTGCAAGTAAATCACATTGTTTAAGGCACTTCCCTTATTGCAGAAGCAGGCATCAGCATTAGGAAAAAGCATTAGTACATCATCAGATTCTTAGCATACATGCTTGAATGGTTTCATTCACATTTGTCATCTTCTGGGTGTTATATGGAAAGTCACAGTGCTGTGAAGGAAAGGAAGCTGTAGCAAACAACTGTGTGCTTATTGAGACATTTGATATTCCACCTTTCTCTCATTTCAAATATGATTTTTAAGTGAAATGTAGTACCATAGTGAGTGAAAATTAACTTTGTATACCAAGGTGAATTATATGGAAAAAGAAAACTATCACTATTATAAAATTACTTCTGCGCCATCTCCAAAAAGCCCCATGGATAAATCAAGAAGAAAATCTTCAAAGAGACTCTCCTGGGTTTCCTGCTTTAGTGTAATGTTGGGATCAAGTATAGCTAATCAAACTTTAGCTATGATTTGGTTCATACCTAACTCGTTAACAAGAAAAAAAATGAGTACATGTGAAAAGTGCCCACTTTGACAGCGTGCAAATTGAAGTAATCTGTGGGACAGATACAGATGGGGCAAGCAGCACCGTAAGCTTTTCCCTTGCCGCTCTGCCAGCCTACCACGACTGTATTTGAAAAGATCAGTGAGTAAAGTTGTAGTAGTCTCCAACTTTCAGTCCTTGGCCTCTGTCATGAGACTGTCCAAGTTATCAGTTGTGGCAGTGGTTCTGTGATGGCCACCCTTGCCCATTAGGAAGTGGACTGAGACCACCAATCCGTTCATATGACTAGACAATTTAAGTTACTGTATGGGGATCCGTTTGAATCCCTACAGACCATAGCAGACTTGAGCCTGATACCAACTCTCTGTCTCTGTTGCCACATTCCCCTTCTAAGAATTTCTCTTTATCTCCTTAGACCATATTTAAGTGAAGATTTTAGTCTTTTTAGTTAATTCTAGCTAAGCCTAGGAACAGCTGTCCTTACTTTGCAAAAATGTAACCTATCTTGTTTATCTTTTAAGGTTCTTCATTCCAGCTGATTAGGTCACCACCTACAGTTAGTAAGTGCATTAGATATGGTATTTGTACACCATTTGAGTCTATAAAATTTCGTTTAAAATATCCTAAATTCTTATCTCATAACTTTCATGTCAGGAAGAAAGGAATCTAAAAACAGTGCAGCTAGTGTCTCAACTGAAAAAAAGCTTAGCCCTTCATATATGAAAGCCAGGAAGGACACTATAGTGAAACAGCTAGGTAAGCGGCAAACCTGTCCATTAACCATGTCTCATGTTTTGGTACGTTAGTTGGCATTTCCATATTCTATGCTTTTTTCCCCTTCCTTCATTTTAACTGTTTAATATAGATTGTACTTTTCTCACCATTTTTGAACACTTTAAAGATTTAACACTATTCACATTGGTCGCAGCAGCAATAATTCTGATTTTTACATTAATTTAGATACTTGCATTGATTTTAAAAGGTGAATTTTCACTTTCTTCCTATACCTGGTTTTTAAAAAGATAAGAAATACTGCTGAAAAAGACTCTCAGTTTAAGCAAATGAGATGTTTAGTTCTCCACATCCCTTAGTTTTGGCCTGGAATATTCTTGCTATTCCAGCTTTTGTGCAGATTGGTAATCATGGTGTACCATTGAGACCACTTTGTTTGTGTACTGAACTCAAATCCCCTATGTTCAGAAGCTGATCCCAAGCTAGTTTGGTTCCGAGGTGTGTCAGGTGAAAAGCTAACATGTTACATCAGAGCATGGGAACAACATTGAAAAGTACTCAAGCACCTGGTAGGATTTCCAAAAGTGCCCATGTGCCTTAGACCCATTCATTTCCTGTGTTAATGTCTGTTGCAAATTATTTTGTGGGTTTTGGAAGTTTGTAAGGGGCCCAGAGCTTTGAATGTTTTTTTTTAATGTTAAATCTAAAAGAAATAATGCCAGGAAGAAAAGAGGCTTGCATTGCAACTAGACCTGCAGAGGCAGGCATTGTGTTAATAAAACTGAAATGGAAACTATGGGAACCTTTCCAGCTTAATGAATACTCGCTAATTATAACCGATTATACCATATTTTGCCAATCATTATTAAGAATAAATTTTCAATATTGTTGCCATTTAACATTTTTTTAATTATCCTGTGTAGTTAAATATTAAATCTACTGTCATTCAAGTTACCAGTGATGAGCTATTTTCACTGTTGTAGTATGTCTTGTAGTAAAGCTAATTGCATAGCAATGCAAATATTAGGTTAATCTATAAATTATATGTTGCATTTGTCAGTGATTTTTAAATAACTCCTTCCATTAAATCAGTTGTGATTTTTGATCTATAATTATCTTTAACAGAGCATGTGAAAAGCCTTCCTTTTAAAAAAGAATGAATATTTTTGTTTCATAACATTGTTTCACTAAAGCATTTAGTCCTTATGTAAAGAAAATACTAGCTTTTGTGCAAGTGCTAGGAGTTACAAATTTAAAGCCTCTTTGCTTGTGTACCCATGTCAAAAATAAGATTTTATAAAGTAATATAGAAACACATGCTTTATATTGGGAGAGCAGAAAAGAGGAAAGCTTATGAATTTTAAATTAAAAACATTTGTGAAATGTCAGTGGATCCACAGCCATATATGCATGATTGTCAAGATTGTCATCTTGCCTACCCAGAAGGCAGCAAAAGTACTCCAGCTTTGTGGTTTGAAAATGTGAAGAATGAACATATGGTAGAATGCATGCTAGGTAGCTTGTGAGCACATTACATAATGCAGCAACTGATTCTGAAATGTTTGGGAGTGTGTCCCTCATGTGTATAGTACATATCTCATTGTAAACTATTTTATGTCAGGAAGAAAGGAAGCTAGTAAAACTGCCACTAGTGCCTTGGTTGAGAAAGCAGCTAGTATATTAAAAGAGAAAGCTGAGTCAGTCACTACAATGCAAGAGCCAGGTAAGAGCAAACAATGCTTGGTATGTCATGGCTGAATAGGGTTTAATAATGTTTTATTAAACACTCCTGCAATAGCAGTGTTTTCGTTGTTTACCTTTTTATCTAGTTGATGTAATATAGGAATTACTATACCAGATTAGCTCAGTGGTCCGTATAGTCCAGTATCCTGTCTCTGACAGTTGTTTCTAGCAGGTGCTTCAAAGGAATGTGCTAGAAATCCTCTAGTGGACAATTATGAAATAACCTGTCAACAAGATATATTTATTCCTAAAACCATTAGTGGTTGGTTTATACTCTGATGTATGAGGGTTCATATCCCCTGTGCATGTAAATATTCTTTTCTAATATATCTGGATGTTTTCACCATCCATACAAATGTCTATTACTTTTTTGATTCTTACTAAGCTCTTGGCCTCATGGATATCTTATGGCAGAGTTATATAGATTGTGTGGTGTTCCAGATTTTCAACAGTTTTAAATTTGTTGCCTTTCAGTTTCTGTGAATGTCCCTGTGTTCTTTTCCTATGAGCAAAGCACCCGATTTACTTTCTCTGTACTATTCATTACATTGTGTACCTCTATCATGTCCCCTCTTGTTTCTCCTCTAAACAGTCCTAATCTTTCCAATCTCTCTTTACAGTAGTCTTTCCATGCTTGTAATCTTTTTCATCACCTCTTTCTGGACACATTCTACTTCTGCTGAGGTTTTTGGGGCAAGGTTGACAACTAAACACATTATTCCAGCGAAGGCATACCATTGTTTTATATGATGGTATTATTTTCTGTCCCATTCTTTATATGTCCTAACAGTTTGTTTGCTTTTTTGACCATGGATGCTGTTACCCGAAATTGGGCCAGCTAATAAGCTTAGGGAGGACTAATGACCCACCAGAGTTTGGCAGAAAGCAGCACGTTTATTATACTGATTGCTGTGCCTGTCCTGGGAGTGTGAGTGCAAGTGTGTGTGTGACCCCCGCCTCTTTTCTTTTGAGTTTAGCTATCAGTATAATAAACATGCTGCTTTCTGCCAAACTCTTATGCAGTGTCCATGCATTGGGTGTGTGAGTGCTGCCTAATTAGAGTCCCAGACACCTTGTTTACCTGGGAGCTCTTCTGATATTTCAGCTGTTTAACCAGCCCATTTATCCCACAAGCATTCCAGGAGAGACGGGGAGGGGGAAAGCCACTTCACAGGTATTCAGAGAGGGAGAGGAGACAAAAGAGCGGGGGGGAAGTGTAACAGACCTTTTGAGCATAAAGGTTATACGTAGCATAGTTATACAGTGCATACAGATCACTGCTACTCCTACAACACTCCGCCCCTTGATCTATGATTATTACAGTAGTTGTTGTCGTCATAGGGCACAGATGATCTGTTGCAAACAAACGAAACAATTATAACCAGGTGAATATAACTAAAACACAATTGATTAAACACCAGATATAATATAAACACAAATACAAACAATCACAATTATAATAATTGGGAATACAATAAAACCATCACCATTACAATAATTGGGTACATTGACAAACAAAATGGGGCTCAAGTTTGATGCTGCAATAGCCATCAAACAATAAAAGTTAACCCTAACCCTTAAATGCACGCAACAAATAAGATTTGTAGAGTACCACAGTTGTTATGCAAGGTTAAACTGATTTGGAAGATACATAGTGTCAAGGCTGTATCCCCACTTTGAACTTTAGGGTACAAAATGTGGGGGCCTGCATGAAGACTTCTAAGCTTAACTACCAGCTTAGCTTTGGTCCGCTGCCACCATCTTAAGGCTAATTTCCTTCCCTGGGAAGCCTTGAGAAACCTTTCACCAATTTTCTGGTGAATACAGATCCAAACCCCTTGGATCTTAAAACAAGGAGAAATTAACCATTCCCCTCCTTCCTCCCACCAACTCCTGGTGAATACAGATCCAACCCCCTTGGATCTTAAAACAAGGAGAAATTAACCATTCCCCTCCTTCCTCCCACCAACTCCTGGTGAATACAGATCCAACCCCCTTGGATCTAAAAACAAGGAGAAATTAACCATTCCCCTCCTTCCTCCCACCAACTCCT